AATTTCCAACTGTACTTAAAGGCCTCTTGCATTGAATAGTTAGTTATTATTTATTATATCCGACTGTATTGCATCACTGCTACAATAATTAATTAGCACGTTCTCATTTTGAACAGAAATTAGCTATCGATTTAATATAAAATGCTAAATAAATAGCAAAATTCGTGTATAATCCCTAAATAAGTTCTCAATCTATTTATTATAAGCATATTTATACATCTTGTGGAAACAAAGATAACGATACAAATACAGAAAGTCCGAAATAAAGAAATCATTTAAATTTAATTAAATTTAATTTAAAAAAAAAAGAAAAAAATAAATTTGTATTTAAATACAATTTCTAAATGCGAGACACCTATTGTAATGTAAATGCACTAGATTCCATCCATGTTAACAAAATATTACAGATATTTCTTGATAAATTAGTCACCGATTAAGTAAATCGGAATTTGCCAGAGTTAATCGATCAAAATTACTTTTAGCATACAATATGTCCATTTATACAACCATCTTGGTATAAATAAACGTATGTATATACATTATCATTTTGTTCGCCCGTGAAAGTGCAAAAGCGCGTAAACGTAAAAGTTTTTTTCAAATTAAAAACTTCGTTTTGTTTTCCATTGAAGTCGTCACTGTGTGTCGTCCAATCGCGAATCTTATGATATAGAAATTGGTCCCGTGACCCGCTAAGCGACCATCTCTCTCTCTTCTCATCTCTCTCATCGTCTTTCCTAACTATATAGTTTTTCTTTCGTGCAAGCACTTGCATCAGTCTCGTTTCCTCTTCCCCTTCGTTCTACATCCTCTCTTGCTGTTCCTTTTTTTCAACGGTCAAGAATCTTTACACGTTCTTGGCCAGGTCGAATGACCAAGTCTAGCGGGCAATCCGACGAGTGGTTTGCTCTCTTTTTGACACAAGAGCCGCCGTTCCTCCATTTCAGCTGTCCCACTCTCCTTCTGCCGTTCTCCCATGCCATTTCCTTCGTAGGACCTTCCCCGGCATCTTTCCTTTAAGTAGCAGAAAGAAGTTCTTTATAACTTTCGGATTGTGCTATTTCGTTCATCTCCGTTCTTCCAGCCACGTGTAAGTCGTTGCTCTTTCCGAGTCGGTTCATCCCTCCATCATCAGCTACCCTTCCTACAGTCTCTCCATGTCCGTCTGTACGTTTTTTACTTACTCGTTTTCACCTCGTTCAACCCTTCTTACGCTATCTCGCGTTCCCTCACAGTTTCTCTCTTGTCCCTGTCGTTCTGACGGCGTCTCTGTTTTCTCTTTTAGCAAATTGTTAGTAGAGAGACTGGTGCAGTTTTAATTAAATAATGCAGCAACGTGTTCGAAATACCGGTGATTCGTCCTCCTACATTCTCTGTATGCGTCCCTCGGCATTCTAACGGTAACCCTCGCTTTTCCTATCTTTTTTACTTATTGAAGTGTTTTCTAAGCGAACCACAGACTGCAGTCTTCAGTGAGATATGTATGCGTCATACCGTGAATAGAATGAGTCGAATTGAATCTGTCAGAAGAGTTGACACCCGCTTGAGAAAAAGCATTTATGTTAGGTTTTCTAAAAATATTCAATTTTGTACGAAATGGAAGACTCAGCTTTTACAAGAAAGCTGTACATAAACCTAGGTTTGTGTATATCTTGCTAGTGAAAATGCATTTTCCATCATAATATCTTCTATTGGAAAATATGATCTATTTTCGTATTCAAGTTATATAATAAACAGTAATTATACTAATTACCGAATGAACTCTGTGTTGTTTAAATAATAATTATAAATACTAAAGTATGTTAAACATGACATTATAAATAAAAACATTCGAATGTATCGGTTTACAATGTATGAGAGAAAGTTATCGTTGATAAATAATTTAAAAATTGCTCTTTTCATCTCGTTGAAGTTCGTATCAGAAATCCGTTCTGATTCACACTCTCTCATAGTCTTTTCGGCGAAATTTTCTTCTGTTTGCTCGACCGTCTGATTGGACTCACTGCGCCGTACGTAATTACACTTCATCATGCCTTCCACCCTTCTTCCGCCTTCGGCTCTATCTATTTTCTACAGACACGCGTTCACGCCTGCTCTTATATAACTATCGTTCTTACAAGAATTATATTATCGATAATTTCCGCTTGCAGCTACTATAGTGTCATAATACAATCATTTGCGACATGATTTCGATGCTGAAAAATAAGTAAAAATATAATTTTTTAATAGATTATATCGATATTTGCCGCAAGTTACATGAAATTATAATATTGTACATAATTACATGATAATATAAAAATTAATAAATGTCAATTTAGCGCTATAATTAATAATTTAGCTACTTTTATTTAACTGCTGTAGAGGCACTATGAAGGAGCGACTGAAGCAACTCTCTGATCATTAAATTATGTATTTAATATCCGGTATTATCGGAAAATATTGTATTGGCAGAAGTTTTAGAGCTACGTTATTTTAAGTTTTTACGAAACCTATCGTAATATTGCGCGCATCTTATGTATACCATTTAACTGTATACTATCATTAGAATGTCGAAATATAATGAAAGATATTATTAACAAACTTGGAAACTTTTTGCAATATTTTTCTACTTATGGACAGTACTTCTAACAAGATAACTTTTGAGAAAATATTTAATCTCTTAATTGCAAAAGTTATGGATATTACCCGCGATTATGCATATTCTTCTACTTTCGCATTATTTTAAAAGGTGTTTAATTTGTTTGAAATCTCAGAATATCAATATTGAATTACACATAGAATTAATTAAACTATCATTATTTAATTTAATGGAATAGTATTTTAGATTCCGTAATATCTATTGATATAATAATATCTGATATAATAATATCAGACGTTGTCAAATTAATTTATGCATATTTTACTATTTATTCTATATGCTATATTATATTTAAACATATATATTTACACTAGATATTATACTTTTTATTCAAGTTAATAATTATAGGACAATATAACGATAAATTTAATATTTTAACTCTATATTTTTTTTAGTTTTTCAGAACACATTACAAAATAAATTTTAAAATTACATTATATTTATAATATTCGATAATTTGTAAAGTATTTATTATAAAAAATATAACAATTCTTTATTTATTTATTATCTAGAATTAGAAAAGATACTATTCTTGTAATTTTGCAATTTTTCAAACACTATAGATTTAGATTTTATTTATACGCAAAGGAAAAATTAATGGTTGATCTTTATTAACGTATAATAAATAATGTGTTTTTACGTTCCCTACGATCTCATCTTCAAAATAATAGTTCCTAATGTATATTTTATAAGATTGAACAACTCATTTCTCGAATGCTTATGCTCGAGAGATAATCAATCGCATTGAAAATAAGATCGCGCATGATGGATGTGTGTGCAGAACTTTTTTAGACTTTACAAAAGAATGTTATTTGGAATAAAAATTTTAAAATAAATTCTTTATTTTTTTCTTTTCTTCATATTATAAATAAGATTATATTCCAGAAGAAAACAGGAAAATTATTATTCAGACATATTTAATCCAAATTGCTACTGTAAACAATTGCATTTTGTATTTATTTTTTGCACTTTTTCAATGACAAAAATAGTGAAAAAAATAACAGATTCTCATCAATCTGATATTCTTCTTCAACTATGGAGTTATTTATTCCGTATGCTCCGCTCGCTTTCATTCCCGTCTCCATTCGTGTAAATCATGGAATTTATTTGGTGATGACTATTTGCACTATCGCTACTAAATCTTGAAATGTTTCATGGAATATGTTCGTCGGACAATTCTGAACCGACTGACCTCTCGAACTTCAACGTTGTGTCGAACAAGATCCCGCGGTCTTAAAGACGGCTCAGGTTACCTAGGTATTCCTGGGATCAAGGCAAGTTTACGGCGACCGTAAAGACGAGATTTACGCAAGCTGTAAATGTGAGTGGAAGCGTCCTGAGTCTTGGCGTGAGGACCTGCTGGATGATACGCTTATACTTTGTGCCCGTGACTGTGACATTCTCTTGATGCGAAAGGTACTTTCCGTTCCCAAATAGGGCGATAGAGCGAGTATATATACTGCTCTGGAATTCTCTCACTGCAAAAGAATTCAAAGTTTTCCATCCCAAAGATTTCGATTGCCATAATAAGTTTACCACGACGGTACGGTTGTGAACGCGCACTGAACAATCGTGATTTGCAACTGCAATTGTTTGAAAGCATAACTCTTTACAGTTATAAAATATAAGCTCAATGTTTGAAAATTTTCTCACGTATTTCTAAAAACATAGGACATTTACTGGCAAAAAAAAAAGCAAAAAGAAAGGGGAAAATAAAGAAACTTGAAGAAGTAAAAGAAGAGTGACATTTCCAAAAAATTTAAAAATAAAAATAGGTAAAAGGAGCAGTCTAAACATCTATTAAAAAAGATCGATAAATATGATTTTAAATATAGTTTTAAATCTATAAAATTAAAATCTATAAATTGTAAATCTATTTGTAAACTAAAAATTGATGTTGAT